TACGTAAGCACTGGTCTATAAATACCTTATTCTCTTGTAAGAATCCTATTCCCACTTTCTAAATTTTCAAGGAAAAGTATGCTTATTGTTTTCTGGTATGTGGTAAGGAGGGGCTCACATAAACCTTCCTCAATGCACAATCCAACAAGGATTAACATTTTGAAGTAAGAGTTTTCCTAAATTAATTCATTTCAGAAAGATACTCATAAATAAATTACTAAAATTGCTAATTGTAGTCTTTTCTTCCACATAAAGGAGTATTTTTCAATCATGGCTGAATCCATTTTAATCAAATGATGATCACTATAAAAAGCAACTGTGATATTAGAAAAGAGTATCCCTTTAACTCGTAATGTTGTGGATGGGATCAGAATTCAAAGGATAACCTTGGTTAGCTCCTATATTTGTTTCTGAGGAAGAGTTAGCTCTTCCTCTTTTCTATTTCAGTCCTCTCTCAGGAAGTTTATAGTATAATGAGATAAACATCAAGCACACTCCTGGTCTTTGTATACCTTACCTTCAGAAAAATATTGTACATCGTCATTTGTATGTAACTTAGAATATTCTGGAAAAACTAGATGTTTAGCGTTCTCTTGAACTACCTTTCATTTTGCAGATAAAATGATTGTGTGTGTGTGTGTGTGTGTGTGTGTGTGAACTTCTTTCTTGATTCTAAATAAGGGTCTAGAGAAATTGTCTCTCAAAAATCAAATGATCCTCAGCTATTTGTTTAAACTGAAATGAACATTTTTCATTTTCTTTTAACTTCTCCAAATATAGATGTACAGACACAGATACTGACATCGCATGTTTGTGAAAGGATAACTTTTCTTCTTTCCAAATAAACAGTTATGACTCTGAGGCTCTTGACTGTACCAATAAGTTTTGCAATAGTTTGAAGTGTAACCATGATCTCAAAGGCACCGGACATATAGGACTCCGTCCATTACGGATATAGGGTAGTCAACTAAGAGGTCAAAACAGAATATGGTGACTTGTTTTCTCTAGTTGGGAATAAACCTACATTGTCGATCAGTCCAGAAACTTAAGGTGAAAATATGCTTTACTGCTATAATAATTTTAAGTAAATTCACTTGAAAATAAGTGAGACCAAAATAATTGTTTTAAATTTTTTTTTCATTCAGATCATGTGTACCTCTAAGAACAAACAGCCCTTAGAGCAACTCAAATGAAAAATCCCCAAGACTGAGAAAGAAATATAAAACTATTTTAAATGCTACAGCATATTTCTCCATGCAAAATCAAGGGACAAAAAGATAAGGACAAAAAAGGTTAACTACCTTTCTTTCCAGACAAGATGTCTATCTTTAGCACAGTGAGCTTTCCACGGTGTAGGAAAGAGCTGGAGCAGGGGTAATATGTGTCTTAGAGATCAAGATATTAATTTAACTATGTCATACATAAGGTTAGAAAAACAAACGAAACCTGAGGTGGAATTATTGTCAGTCTATCCCAATCTGGACTCGTTTAGGTGCATGCAATTCCGTCTCAAAGTCAGTGTATCTAAATGATTTAGGATTATGTTTTAGCATTCATTATGTTTCATACACAGCACTATGACTCTATGTGACCGTGCATCAACGCAGGATTGTACAAAATGAATTTGAAGGAATGATCCCTTAAATCTTTTAAAATTCTGAGATGGAAGCTGTAGCAAAACTCAAAACAGACCATTTCAGTTTCAAAACGCCCATTTTCCTTGAAAGACACAGTTCTCTTGATCCCTGCTCTGTTTTTCCACGTTAGGCACAGACACGAGCTTCAACTATATATTACACTACACTTTATATCCACAACGACTGTGATTAAAAATGTTGACAATAATAATAGAGTTAGCACACAAATAAGCTTCCTTCTTAGAGGCAGGCAATAGTCTAAGCAGTTGAAGAAAGCTACCCAAGCCCACACTGTAGTAACTGGAGACAGGGAGGGTCCGGCCAGCTGATCCCATTCCTGAGTAACTGACAGTACACTTCATGGGCTCCCTATTTTAGTGATATAAAAGTGTAGCATCAAAAGAAACAGCAAAGGCGATCCCGCTGCAGTGTGAGGGCTCCAGAGTCCCTGTAGTCTGCAGCCAGTGGTGGGTGGCAGGAGGTCTGGGGGACTGGATCCTTGGATTTCTCAAGAAGAGCTGTCAAGTCCAGGCTTTTATCAGAAGCCTTGATTTGGAAATATTGCATTTCATTCAAGTTTTTTTTCTATAAAAATCCTGTTGACTTGAAAGCCAAATCACTACATTCTTGGGATAAGACTGGTGTCGCACTTATCCTCTACATTGCCCAAAGCCTAGGGTATTGCTGGGCACATAAAGGAGCCATCAACGGGGCTCTCCTTTTGAAAATACAACCATTTTACCTTAGCTACTTTGTAAACTTTTAGGGATACAAAATTTTTTCAACCAATAGTTACTATTCCCTGTGCCAGACCTGCTCTCAGCCCCTGAGCTATCATTGCTGCTGTTACTGTTGTTATGTGCCATCAAATCACTTCTAATGCAGAGACAGGACACATGGCAAAATAGAACTGCCCCACAGACAGGGCTTATCTTGCTGCAGTCTTGAAGGAAGCAGGTCTCCAGTGGTGAGTTCTAAACCCCAACCTTTCTGTTAGTGGCTGAGCATCACAACTGTTGGATATAATGGGGCAAACTGGACAAAACAGTCTAAGAGAGATAGGGCTATTATACTAGTATCTTCATAAGCAAAAGACCTAGGAAACTACAAAAACAAACAAACGTAATCTATGCTATCAAGCACTAAAAGGAGGCGGCTGGTGGCAGAGTGGCTTAAGCACTGGGCTGTTAACTACAAAGCATTGGGCTGTTACCTGGTGATTCATACCCACCAGTTTCTCAGGAGGACGATGAAGCATCTGTTGCACAAACATTTTCAGTCTCAGAAATGTTAAAGAGCAGTTTTGCTCTATCCTCTCGAGTAGGGATGAGTCAAAATGGATTTGGTTTGATTTTGAAACAAGAGCTAAAGAAAGTCAGACACACTCTGGCTTATGTTTTCTCCTATCACACTGGTAAAGACTCAACAAATTGAGTTACAAATATTTAAAGGAATTTAAAAGAGAGGGCATGACTTTAAACTTGAGTGCTGTTTTTCAGAAGCAACACAATATGATCTTGCTCCTCCGCTTGAAAGGAAGTATTGATCAGTAGTTAGTGAGTCAAAGGTTAATAACTTGGGTCTGATTATTTCTACCATCAGATCTGTGCGTAATGATGTCCTCTGGCTTCTTGCAATTATGGAAGCTTTTTTCTGACTTTTAGTGCTGGGAACCAAGGAAGTTAGTTATTTTCTTGTTATTCAGTTGCAAGGGGTTCACTGAAGCTATCTCGTGCATCACAGGGTGGGAGGTACAAAGGTCCAGGAAGAGGACAAGGGCAGTTATGCCAAATGCAAAGATAGAACAGCGCAAGACTAATTGGCAGCAGCCTGATGAAACACTGGTCATAGCATGCAACTCGCACATAGTTATTCTACAAGGCCACAGGTTGAGTTCATGGAACTTCTCCCTAATGTTTGCTTGAAAACAGATGTAGTTTCTGATAGGGCCAAATGGCAGCATCTGGCTACTACTATGAGACAGCTGCTGGGAGTTAAGAGACAGGCAGCTATAGTAGAATCATTTCAAAAATGCACAAACCTTCCCATCAAGTTGCTTGCATTTCCCTAGCTCTTAGAGATTACTGACTCCACAATCCAACTAATTATAGATGATGACTCTGTTTAGGACAAACAAAACAAAAACCCACAACAAATTAAATGCAAGGTTTTGTCTTCAAGTAGCCTTCAAGTTGTAAGAAGAGAGTGGCGATCTCTTATAACCGGAAGCAAAATATTATTTTCTTATTGTCTTTATATCAAAAGTAGATTTCCCACAGCCTACTCTGTTTGGAAGAAACAATATTTTCTTTGTTAGCCAAGCCTAACACAGATCTCATGCAATGCCATTGGCTCTTCTCATGGCTACTAGTCAAAGGATACAGTCCACGGAATAAAGGCACAATCTGTTGAAGTCATCATCTATCAATTAAGCTTTCTATCAATTAATCTAAGAAACACATTGATTGGCACATAACTAAAAATAAAAATGTAAGAGAACAGAAATGATTGAAAATAAATAGGCTGAAAATTAAGCACCCACTCAAATTGTCCACTTTAAAGAAAAGTACTAATTAAATGCCAAGAAAATATCCACATTTAAGCAAATAAAACTTCTAAATACCAAACCATTACACTTATTATTGTAATAATGTGTCACCCACTGAATCTCCCTAGGGATTTTTAACACGTTTGGTTTAGTTCATGAAAATCTCAGTGTATCTAGTAGATACCTCTAGTATCTAGTAGATAAACATCGATAACAGTAATTTAAAATAGTTCCGATTTATAAAATCTAAAAGGAACATCCTGAGATTTTGCTCCAAATGAAAGATTGTGTTTGCAATGAATGCATAAAGTCAACATTAGCAGTAACACAATAATCATGCACATGTGTTTATAAAACCGAAAATATTTATAATCTAGATTTTTTTTGTTGTATTGTTTTGTTTTTCAGTCTATAGAACTTTACTTTTTCTCCATCTATGTTTTCCCATGAAGTTAGTAAAGAAGTTCTGCATAGCCCACTAGGGGATTAGGACAAGGTTTTTTAATTGTCTTTCATTTTTTGGCTAATGCTCCATCTTCATTGAAGATCATTTAAAAAAGAAGTTTCCCCAGATTTTCGGGGTGAATTGGGCGGAATACAGTGCCTGTCTCCTCAAATCTACAAGTCGGCGGCTAGCTCCGCCGGCCAGCGACTGAGGCTTCTCTTCCACGGACTCCCCACTTCCGACCGAGCGCGATACAAAGACTCGTCCAGGAGTTCGTGCAGGGCCCCCACCTTGACACCAGCATCCGGCACGGACGCCAAGGGCACGGCGGCGGGAAGGAAGCCGAGCGAGCGCCGGGTGGGGGTCTTACCTGCGGCCCTGGGGTCCCGCGGCGCCGGGCGGCTGCGCGCCGGAGGAGCGCGAGTGAAAGGCAGTGAGCACC